CTGCAATGACGCCAATGGTGGTGACTGACCCCAGAATTTGGTTTGCTTGACGTCCCTGTAAAAAAATTCTATATTATATATTATATATAACTGTTTGATTGAATTTACAGGGAGAACTATTGTGTGCTAAGATCCATCAGTATTTATTGTTATGCAACTTAACCAAATTACATCATACATTAACCGCAGTTCAAGTTCCTGCACGTCCTCCACCAGCTACAGCTTCAAACTCATCTTCCTCCAGCCAACGCAGAGCCGACTGTAAGTCCAGTTAATACTGCTGATATCACTCTCAGGATGCATTCACAGTAAAAGCATCCACGTCATCAGCCAAAGCTCCCACGGGCGCGGTCTATTTCCTGCTGCCAGAGCACAATCTGGTGTTGACTGAAGAGTTTTAAATGGCGTACCAACTCCACCCCAGGCAGGCATGCTGCCAGCACGACGACACTCCTCAGCAGCTTGTAAAATAAATAATAACTGGCTACATTTAAACAATATTAAAAGCCAACACATCCACTCATGTACATGAATCTGGTGAAGTACTGGAAGTAAACCAGTGTCCATCACTGTGGTGGCGTCTCTACAGTATGTGCACGTTTTAATGCAAGCTGTTCTAAGAACTGTACCGTTTTCTACTTTTCTCTTTACTCTTTCTATGTAACGCCATTTTTACAACAATGTCTAGGAAATGGGGAAGAAGTTGATTAGTTATCAGCTGCTCCAACAGCAGTGACATTCTTAAACATGCAAGCCTTAACTTCATAAAGAGACTATAGACTAAACAGAGAGTCCCTGCAGAGGACCAACAGGTTCACATCACATCATCCTGAGAACCTATGGAAAAGAACGGAACATGATATTTAACTAATATAACTGGTCTGTGATGATTAAATGCAACTGCTGATTGATTATACTAACTTGTACAGTAGTATAACACAGTACATCAGTTGAAATGTGGCAGACAGTCGCTATAGTCCTTATTTCTGGATATTATCTCACTAATATGTAAAAACACTGAGATCTCCATCCATATAAGGAATCTTCATCAGGAAGTGGAGGCCACTGCCTAACGTCAGACCAACTACCCATAATGCTGCAGTCCCTACGAGGCGCCACCGCAGTAATGGTGGTGCCACTAGATAACAGGACACACCAATATGCAGGATTTACTGGAATCTCACCCTAACCTTCCAAGAGTATAAAGAAACTAGATTTTTCTCTCTTTAAACACAATAACTGTAATTTATCCACTGGGATTCTCAACCAGTTGGGATTACTCTGCTTTTACTCTGGGATTTCAATCTTTCCAGGCATTCTTTGCAGAGTCGACCCCGGCATGGTACATTGGCTGGGAATGCCTGAACTACCTGCTGACTTAGTAACACTTTATTACTTTACTCTATTACTACACTTTAACAACCAGCGCTGCAGGTCCTAGTAGGTTCAAGACCAGCACTAGTCAAGAGTCCAAAGAGGTTCAAGTGCTATGAAAAAGAATGCTTTTGTCAAATGTATTGACCGCCTGGTAACCATGGTTACCGTGGATTTTTAATTAAATCACTTCATCAGTGTTTTTGACTAGAATATTAATATTATATAATAGATAAATATAAATAAAATATCCAAAACAATATAAAAAATGTCTTCAGTCCGAGAGAGAACTGATAATAACCATCCTTACTAAATAGTAAATTGATAGTTAATTAAACTTCAGGCAATAGTTATTTAACAAACAGAATTAGTTTATATATTGTATATTGTATTATTAACCAATAAACAAGGTGTTATAATCATCAGTTTTAACTTTATAAAATCATCAAAATATTGTTTATAGACGGTTTATGAACTAATTATTAACAATTAACAGTGTAACAAATATCTGGTCAGTCTCTCTGTGTAAAGGTTCACAAATAATTTGTCAAACAAATAATTAATATAGTGTATAAAATGTTATTTGTGTGCAAGAATAAATTGCTAATAAATAGTTTAATAGTTAATTAATCAGAGTGTAATTGTTATCATCTCTTATCAGCTATGATACAATATATAATTTATTAACAAATTCTTTCATATAAATACCAGCATGACCAACAATGAATGAAGATTATTAATTATTATTTCAGTGTTTGTTAACAGTGTACCCGTCAGACTGCTGAGCTGCAGCTGTTTCAGGCCGCTGGTATAGTTGAGGGTTGCAGACGAGTGGTTTCTGTTGTAGTTGGACATCACCAGCAGAGCGAACCGGCTCTGGTAGAGGTTCTGGCCCCGGATCAGCCTCAGATTGACCAACGGGATGCTCGCAGCCTCGTTCATGGCGATCAGAACATAGCCGCCGACTTCCTGGATGGACTGAAGAAAGAGAAGATGGTGATCACTAAGTAATCATCAGTACTCGTTTGTATGCTTTAAGGGGAATAACTAACTCCATATCTTTTAAATTCCATTGAATCCGTCAGTCTAAAGATTGATTCCCTTCCTGGATTCATGATGTATGGCTGTTGAAAATGTGCTCGATTACATATATTAACTGTGCCTGCTGTCTGGAGGCCAGTGTGACCAGCACATTCAGGTCAAGTCCATTTTTATTCATAGAGCCAATTATCACACATCCTTATTTATTCTGCTGAGAACCTAGATTGTATATAAAATATAATTATTAGAAGAAGTTATTGCCTAGCAAGTACACGAAAACATACTCCTCCATCTTCCTGCCTTTGACCTGGAACCGTCTCAATTTCTAAAATCCATCTAGAGGAGCGTGGAGGCTTTCCATGAACGTATATAATATGTACGTAGACTATGTAAGAAGCACTGATCATTTATTTGGAAGGATATTTTCCCCACCTAGTTTCTTTTTCATATACTTAATAACTACACTAATAACTGGATTTCAATATTTTACCATCTAGTCTCTGGTAGGTGTCCACGTATTTACTAAGTAATAACTTTGTACTAACTAGCCAGTTCTTTTAAGGTAATTAGCAAACTGTAAAGTGACAGGAGGCGTTATAATCTGTTCACCATACAATCTGTACAATCAACAAAAAACTGCCCCACAAAAACCCCTATCCTCAGGGAGAGCAATAGAGGAGGGATCCCTCTCCCAGGACGGACAGACACATTCAGTCTCTATATTATATATTTTAGGCGGGGATCATAGGACGTATTAACATGTTAAATGATCGATTAACAAAAATCCTTGAAATCTGCTGACATTCACAGTTTATATTATAGCTGGCTGGACATGCAGCTGTGATTCGAGGCTGCTTTGAACTCCCTCTGGTGATGCGATGAAGGACGCTCTGACCTGCTTAACAGCAACTGTTTGAAAAACCCACATGATTGTTTTTACAGCGTCCATGTTTGCTTATTTTTGTCTTCCGGGTTTGACTTTTCTGGTAACAGAGTTCTAAATTCAACGTTGTTTGGCGGATGAGCATCAGTTCACGGATGTCAGAGCGTCTTCTAATGCAACACAAAGAGAGTTCTGAGAAAGCCTCACATGTGCAGGGCCACAGGAGGGAAATGTCTCACAGACAGAATAAAGATTGTTCAGCAAGTTTGATAAACCAGCGGCTGCCTGAAAGAAGGAGATCAATCTGAAAACTGATGGACGATTTGAGAAATTATCTTTGGCACTGACAAAAAAGACAAAAACACAGCAGCATTACAGACAGACCTGGAGGAAGGACAGGTCCTGGTGCTCCAGGGTGTAGGTGACCTCCAGGTTCTCCAGGACCACGGAGCAGTTTGAGTACATCCTCACCATGTTCTCATAATGGTTATCACGAGTCCCCAACAGCGTCAGCTGGTTACTCATTCCCTGACACACTGACAGACAGACAGACAATCATTATTGAATTCAGAGCTAAAGTGTGTTCAGTTGCAGTTCCTGTGACGCCCACTAGATGGTACACATTTTTCATTTACCCTGGCTGTATTGAAGTGAATGGGAAATATTCTCCTAATATGAGTCTGAAGCTGCATTTGAATGTTTTTAGTTCAGTTTGGTGTAGTACTGAGTTAAAAAAAAATTGGGGTCACAGTAAATCATTTGTAACCACACTGTAGAGTGAGGTTTACATTGAAGTTTAGTTTCAGTTTCCAGAATGAGCTTTAAGTCAAATTTAAACTAACATTTTTAATTAAACTAATAATAAATAATGATAATTTACTTTTGTTCTTTAACCGTTCGTCAGGGGCAAGATTGAGGAGACTCAGAACAGGTATTAAAATACAAACATTGACTCTCGCTAAACAAATGAACCAACGCCTCCTCGTGCTGTTGTGTTGACAGATTTCATTTTTCAATTTAATTTTGTTTTGGTGAGTTTTGTCAGTAGACAATATCATTTCAGTTAGTTTTTAGTTGGTACTGATGAACACATTTCTGCTGTGAGTTGATAGGATATGAAAGAAAAGAAAGATTTTCCTTTAAATGAAAAATGGCTCATTCAGTAAAATCAATAAAGACTGATTATTATTTGTTGAAAGACAGATTATCACAAAGAAAACATTTGATGTAGGTAGTTTTTTATTGTGTCTCTATTGTTTCTGTGTAAAACTTCAATGGCAGGAAGTCATTTCAATAAATTATTATTAAAGTCTTTTCAATTATGTTCTTTATGTTTTACCCTTTAGTTCTAATATGTTTAATCTGTTCTGTTTTTAATCTTATTTTTAATATTGTGTTATTATCGTATTATTGCTTTATTTAGTTTTTATTGTGTTGACTTGTTTTGATTTTCACATGTAAAGTGATTTATAAATTTAAAAAATCTATTTTTATTAATGAAGTATGTCATTTGAGAGATATGAAGGGGGAAAATATCTATATTTAACGTTTAAATGTCCTGTTTCCTACTTTGATTAAAGTGAAGACTAAAGTGTTAAATGCTGGAGTGGAGGATGAGTGTCGGGTTTCACAGTGACATCCGTGCAGCTAACACAGTTTCCAGGTTAGAGGTAATTACATAAAATATTTTAAGCAGGCGCAGGAAGGTGTGACACAATTTCAGAGAACTTTAAACGAGTTTAACATCAGCTGCGGTGCCCATCGATGAATGTGTGTGGAATGAAACCCTACAGGCTCAGTTTGTTTCAGCCAGCGACTTCCTCCTGAGGCTCTTAAAGGGAAAGACCAAATCAACACGAGGAGGTGAGACGCTTCTGAAGAGACGTCAGTTTCTCACACTCGTCCAGCAGGTTTGTCCTCCACACACTGCACCATTTAAAGCCACATGACGCAGATTTAACTTCTGTGAGTCTGAGACAGTTTGAACTTGTCAGAGAAGAAGAATGACAGTCCACCGCCACGCCGGCGCCCTCACGAGGCCGTTGTACAGCGGAGGACTGAACTGTGAGACAGATGAAAAGTGGAAATCATTAGTTGACAAACTGATGGTCTGAACTTGTTTCTCTCTGTGAGGTTCTCTGGCTGCATTCCTATTGGCCGGCCCCCCGCTGTGATGTCACAAAGACAACACAGCTGCACTGATCCCTGCCTCTCTCTGATTGGCTGATGGCTCACTTTGGGGGAGGCAGGCCATTGGTCAGAGCCTCAGGGGGAGCGGCCCACATCTGAACACACACACACACAACCTGAGCCCTCATTCTGTCTTTTCTTAATGAAAATACTAAATGTGTGGAGTTATGGTGTAAATATATAAAAGAATGACATTTTTAAACCTATAAAACTTTTAAATAATAATAATAATAATACACTTTTATTTATTTAAAACGCTTCTCCAATGAACCCCAAGACATTTCACATGAGTTAAAAAGGTTTGTGCTGTCTTTCTTTCTTCCTTCCTCCAGTCTCCCCAGTTCCCTGACATCCTCCTACTACATCTTCATCCCTTCTTTCTCTCCTCTCCTCCTTCACTGAAATTCTCTCACATTAAATTAAACCTGTCATTTCTGCCACTAGGTTGGAAAAATCTGGGATAATGTAAGAACACAACTCGACTCCATATAGAACATAGCTCTAGAGTTTATACACTGTTCAATGAGGAGACGTTACAGATGAACATTTAAGTGGTTTCGACACAAAGTCAACTTAGTTAAGATGAGGAAACAATCATCGTGTTAAATGACTACTTTGTTAAGGGTGAGGCAACCTTCGTTGTCATGGTTACAATAATAACCATACTCATAAGGTACTCCTGGACGTACACTGCTAACTGTCTGTCATTACCTTGAACTAAATGTAAAAAGGGTCGTCTTTTTTCCCTGATTTTTAAGTCACAGCGAATCTAAATATGTGTGTTCACGTCTGATTTATGACTCACAGAACGAGTCTGCAGCAATCGGGCGCTAAGGCTTTAGTACCTTAATCTCCTCTGTGAACTGCGTGTCACAACCACGGCTCCATATTAATGTACTGCTCATGAATAACAAATAGAAGGTGTTATATGTAACTATTATATAACACTCACTGCAGTTAATATAACCACTACTGCTTCTAACAATAAGAAGAATAAACCTCAATGAATGAGCCTCAATCTGACTCTGATAGTGACGACTCAGAGGTTCAATTTACGCAAGTACAGACATTGGTCCTCACAAAGAGCCATGTACAAGCACACACACACACACACACACACAGTGCTGTTTGTTTAGGAACAGGTCTGATCTGTCAGATTGTTTCTTGGACGACGTCCTCGGCTGCTGTACGGCACATTGCACATGAAAAGAGTCCATCCTCCCTCTGTGTGTGTGTGTGTGTGTGTGTGTGTGTGTGAGAGAGAGAGAGATGCATTTGCATGTACAAAGGGCCAGAGAAAATGTAGAAATGCTTTTGCAATCTTTCATCAGAAGACAGATGTTTGTTGTAACAACTGCTTCACTTTTCTTCAGTTTTACGAAAAAGTGATGGTGAATCGAGGAAATGCTCAAACGCTGGAGTTGTTTGGAGTTGAGAAGCTCCAGAAGCACCAGCGGGGGGAAGTTGGCAAGCCAGACAGGAGGGTCTTCTCACCAGCCTCTCACAGACCCCTCTGACCCCCCCACAGCTACACAGACCCCTGCAGCCAACGCAGCAACATTTCTGTCTGCTGTACGTATTTATTCTGATTAGCTGAGCTTTAGGTAGACTTTATAAGATAACTTACAGCCAGAGAAAGCACCATCCACCCTCCTCAGCTCAGCTCAGCGGCCTCCTCTTCTGCTTCTCAGTAAAACATACCGACGGTAGCTGCTAATACTGTGGTGTTAATATTTACCTTCATTCTTTTTATTAAACGTGGCCTTCAGTGCCCTTCTCTCCCCTTTTTTTTACATTCATTTGCCTGAAAATAATACTGTAAAACATTGAGTGTAAGAGGAAATGTTGATTTACATTTGTGATAAACTGTTTTCAACAGGAGCTCGGACGGTAATGTTGTAATGAGGTACAGTAGGTTTGAATATACTCCAGTGTGAACAGTCAGCGTACTGAATCGTTCATTCAGTACGCAGCAGGCAGTACACACTGACTGAGTATGCAGCAGGCAGTACGTTGATTCAAACACAGCCTCTATATCTTTTATCTTTTATAGTCACTTAATCTTTTGTTCAGATGCAAACCAACATGTTACTTATTCATTACGTCTCTCACTTCCTGTCTTACTTCCTGTCTCTCCGCTCCAACCTCTTTATTTTTAAAAACACCACAAATATAAAGTTTCATTTTAAAACTGTAGTTATTTATTCTCCTGTATGAGGAGGAAATAGAGCATTTGTGGACTATTTTCAGCGGCAGATGAATCCACATCTGGTGCTGTAGTGAGTGTGTGTGGCAGCAGGACGGTGTATAAATAAACTACAGTGCAGCTCATTGATGTGTTTTTAACACTTTTTGGACAACAATGGAGCTGTACGGCACAGAGGAAGCAGATATATCAGGCTGTGATACACACACAATACTTAGTAGATACATTAATTGTTGGTTTTGGTCTTTTAATGGGATTTGTTGACACTTAAAAAACCTTTTAAAGAAAATTGTAGTCATTTAAAAGTAATCCTTAATGCTGTCTGTTGTGCTCTGGAGATTTAAGAATGAAACCTAATACAAACATGCTTTAAAAAACTAGATTACCTTCCCTTTTTCCACAAAAAGTGGGAAATTGTGTGTTTATAGCCTAGGTCATAACACTAACATTGCACTTATTAAAGTGTTGGCACTCAATACTGGAGCCAGTGATCTACTGTGGATGATTTTAGTATAACTTCCTTCACCAAAGTCGAGCTATAAGAGAAATCTGATGTCGTTTTTTCCTAAATGCAACCGTCAGAGGGGCCGCAGCAAGGCTCGAGCTCATAATGCAAGAAATAAGTTCAGTGTCACATTAAAAATTCCAGCTCTGTGAATATTTTATGTCAGAACTTGCGCAATTTTTCAGACATTCATTTGAGATGCTCATCGCCTCTGGGTGACAGATTTACCACAGCTTAGGCAGCACCGAGGCCCCAGTTCAGTTCAGAAATGTTAATAGAAACTGTTGGACTCTGTCATTTATGTTGGATAGGACGGAACTCTAGCCAAAGGATGTTTTTGGAGTACATTAAACCTGAGGATTTACGTTTTTTACTAAGTTACATAAAATTGGAGAGCTGTTTTCTAATTTAAATGTAAGGAGAATTAAATCCAGTTCCTGTAATTTCATTTCTGTTACATGCTTTACATTTCAAAGTCTGACCTCTGTCCTGCAACAAAGTCACAGTAGTTTTCATCACAGTGGACTAGGACAAATGCAGTAAAGTAGATTTATCCCAGTTTGTTGTCATAAGAGTGGGCCACACTGATATAATTCTCAACTGTATATGCATTAGTAAAGTAACAACCCCC